GGAGGAAGTTATCACATGTGCCGAAGAGAGCGAAAAGCGCGTCAGCCCGTCGAGAACTGCGGTGCTTCTGCGTCCGTCTCACAAGCTGAATGCAGAGGCGCAAAGGAAACAAAAAAGAGACGTGATATCATCAAGGAGGGTCGACTCCCTGAGAATCACGCCGTGTAGGAGCCGAAGAGATCCGGGTTGTTCTCGATGTCCTCCAGGTATCTACCGGTGTTGCCCACGCAGTAGATGTTGCGCGCACCCATGGCACCCTCACCACGGAACGCCACGTAGAGGAAGCCGTCCTCGCACCGGCAGGCGTCGTAGAGGTCCGCCATGGCGGTGGAGGGTGCGGGGGAGCAGCCGCGGACAACGATGCCGAGCTTCTTGCCGGTGATCGCCGCTGCGCTGCGCACCGCCACCTCCAGCGTGGCCGCCGTGGCATCGTGGGGTACGGTGAGGAAGTGCACGCGACCGTTGGGGCCCTCCATCACAACCGGAATCTCGTTGGGGTGCTCCTGCTGCAGGCGCCGGCACTCAGCGGTGCGGACGCTCACGGCGACGGACTTGGCGTAGGACATGGCGGACGTGCACCTTCCTCAATTGAACCCGCAGATGAGCGAGGAGCGGAAAAGAGAGAGGAGGAGGCGGAGGTGACGTGCTGAAAAGACGTGTGTGCTGTGGGGAGAGAAAGCGGCGAGTATCACTAGACACCTGCGGCGAGCATGCACGCGCACAACGGAAAAACAGGTGACGTTGGGGATCGAAAGCAGACAGAAAAGTCGCTTTCAGCAGAATGGCGTTGATGGGGAGGGGGAGACGCAGTGAAACAGAGGAAGACAGGGAAGTCGTCATAGACACTGGCAACACCGATGACGCGCACCACATTGTTGGTTGCCGTTTTGGGCGTCCCGCAGCTCTCGCGCTGGAAACGGCTCGTGTGCTAGAGGACGAGTGCGCTTCCAACGGCATATGGCCTGATAAAAGACACGCTCAAGGAGCCTGTTTGTTACGTTGCCCGCTCGCTTTCACGTCAGCGAGCTGATCAGCGACGGGAGGTGCGCACCACTTCACTGCCGTTCGCCGCAAGCTCGCAAGGCGGCGAAAAAGCACCGATGACAGAGTTTCTTCACTGAGGCGCCACCGAAGAAAAAACCCATGGCGTACAGGTAGTTTGGCAGACAATTTTCAGCGTTGATATCGCACGGAGAAGTACACGCTTAAAAGAGCTCCTTTGTCCCGTGATTGCAACAATCCTTTCCCTTCGGAGAATTACGATGGTCGGCGTTTTCCCTTCCACTCGCCTGCACTGCCCAGAGAACCGCTCAGGAAGCAGGAGAAAAGGACACTGAGAAAGTCGAACAACAACCACCAGTAAAGACGTTGCGCGAATGAGAAAACATATCAAATAACTTTTTACTGCACACATACTGCAGGCCGACCACCCGAAGCGGGAAGACAAGCCCGCAAGATCGTTTATATTATTGACTCGATATAACAGAAAAGAATAACAAATGATTTGGATGGTAAACAGGTAGCATTGAAGGAATAGAGATTGACGAAAAACAAACAAAAAAACAACAACGGAGAAACAACCGTTATGCACATGGCATCCGCCTCTAAAGGGGATTACACAGCAGCCGCGTCGTTGGAGAAGCAGGGACTGGCAGCAGCGCCCATCGCCTTCTCCGCGCGCACCGCCACGTACAGGAAGCCGTCGGCCTGCTTGCAGGCGTCGCTGAGGTCGCGCAGCGCGGTGCCGGCGGCGGGCGTGCAGCCGTCGATGATGAGCGAGAGCTTCTTGCCGTTGAGGGCGGCGCGCACGGCCGCCTAGCGCTCGGCGACGGTGGCGTCGCGGGGCAGCGCGAGGAAGTGCGCCTTGCTGCTCTTGGCGGCCTCCACCACCATGGCGACGTGCGCCGGGTACTTGGCCTGCAGCCGCGCGCACTCGGCACGGCGCACCTCGACGGAGTTGCTCGTTCTGGTAGGCGGACATGGCTGCAGTGAGAGGGGGTTTGATTGAGGTTGTGGCGGAAGAGTGGAGCTTGGAGGCAAGTGCAGTGGGGAGTGGAAGCGGAAGGAATCAAGATCGGTGTGTTGATCTGGTGGGGCAAGTCATTGGGACAGCCGTGCAGCGAACATCCCGCGGAGCACATTTCACCAGCGGCGCCATTTAAAGAAAATCAGAGAAGCAAAGCAGCAAGGTGGGCAAATGGAGAGGCAGAAAGAGAGATGGAGATGGCAGAGAGGGCGTGGAAGGACAGCAACGGCGAAAGCGGTAGCGATGGTGCCACACGGGTGGACCAACGGCGCTACGAATCAAATGGACTTGATAGGCATGGGAGGACGTCCGCAAGCAGAGGGGGACCCGTTAAGGCCCGTCGAGGCCATGCGCATTTCTGCTTGCGTCCACAGCCGCGCAGAAAAGGAGAGCCCTACACCGGGTCGCCAGACAAAGCTGCTAGAAGGCACCGAAAGAGCGCCGGCGCGTGTATTCAATAGGGAAGAGCGTCGCGATTCAGAAAAGAGGAAAAGAGGAAGCAAAAAACTCAGTTTGCGAATGATACTCGACGCGACTTGCGCCGCAAGGAGGGGTTTGCACATGGAAATCAAGAAAAGAGTAGAGGAAAAAACGAAAGAAAGGCGGATACGCTCAACACATGCACGACAAAGGCATACGCCCTGAGGGGAACGAAACCCACCACCACCACCAACAGAAAAAGACAATGAAGCATGCACATCATCCGTTGTCTGGCTGCTGCGCAGGAGACGCGCGACGACACCTTTCCACGCCGCGAGTGGCCACGTGCGCTGCAACCAGCGGATCAAGACGAAAAGAAAGTGCGACTACGGCGGTACAGTTCCCGTAAGCTGAGGGAGTTGTGCTTTATAGAAAATAGAACGGAGGTGGCCGCGAGTCGGGACTGCGTTTACGCACCTCGCGCCGCAGCGCAAGGCGTATGTGCATTTAATTGGATGCGCTACACTACGCTCCCCACTCTCGTCGCCAAACAGTCGCATTTCGGGTGCTTTTCCCCGTCTACCTGCGTAGACACACGGGGAACGGCGACAGCACCACGAAAGCGGCATGCGCGCGACAGGTCAAGAGTGATACGCGGCACACCTTTGCGCGCCAACAATGAAGCGCAACCAAAACGAAACGTCGCTGCGACCGTCACGCTCTTCAAGAAACGGCGTCTCTTCCGTCCTCTCCACTGCGCTGTCGTGACGAAGCGTCGTCCGCTGCCATCGGCCTGTGTTCGTTGTGCTCTGCGGAATTCGTTTGTGTGTCTCCCAAGTACAGCTCTGCTACGCGAGCAGACGGGCAGATGACGCAAAAGAAGAAGGTGCTTTTTTCTACACATCCATTGCTGTCGCGTCCGCAAAGAGATTGTTTTCGCGAAGAGATAAGGAGGAAGTTATCACATGTGCCGAAGAGAGCGAAAAGCGCGTCAGCCCGTCGAGAACTGCGGTGCTTCTGCGTCCGTCTCACAAGCTGAATGCAGAGGCGCAAAGGAAACAAAAAAGAGACGTGATATCATCAAGGAGGGTCGACTCCCTGAGAATCACGCCGTGTAGGAGCCGAAGAGATCCGGGTTGTTCTCGATGTCCTCCAGGTATCTACCGGTGTTGCCCACGCAGTAGATGTTGCGCGCACCCATGGCACCCTCACCACGGAACGCCACGTAGAGGAAGCCGTCCTCGCACCGGCAGGCGTCGTAGAGGTCCGCCATGGCGGTGGAGGGTGCGGGGGAGCAGCCGCGGACAACGATGCCGAGCTTCTTGCCGGTGATCGCCGCTGCGCTGCGCACCGCCACCTCCAGCGTGGCCGCCGTGGCATCGTGGGGTACGGTGAGGAAGTGCACGCGACCGTTGGGGCCCTCCATCACAACCGGAATCTCGTTGGGGTGCTCCTGCTGCAGGCGCCGGCACTCAGCGGTGCGGACGCTCACGGCGACGGACTTGGCGTAGGACATGGCGGACGTGCACCTTCCTCAATTGAACCCGCAGATGAGCGAGGAGCGGAAAAGAGAGAGGAGGAGGCGGAGGTGACGTGCTGAAAAGACGTGTGTGCTGTGGGGAGAGAAAGCGGCGAGTATCACTAGACACCTGCGGCGAGCATGCACGCGCACAACGGAAAAACAGGTGACGTTGGGGATCGAAAGCAGACAGAAAAGTCGCTTTCAGCAGAATGGCGTTGATGGGGAGGGGGAGACGCAGTGAAACAGAGGAAGACAGGGAAGTCGTCATAGACACTGGCAACACCGATGACGCGCACCACATTGTTGGTTGCCGTTTTGGGCGTCCCGCAGCTCTCGCGCTGGAAACGGCTCGTGTGCTAGAGGACGAGTGCGCTTCCAACGGCATATGGCCTGATAAAAGACACGCTCAAGGAGCCTGTTTGTTACGTTGCCCGCTCGCTTTCACGTCAGCGAGCTGATCAGCGACGGGAGGTGCGCACCACTTCACTGCCGTTCGCCGCAAGCTCGCAAGGCGGCGAAAAAGCACCGATGACAGAGTTTCTTCACTGAGGCGCCACCGAAGAAAAAACCCATGGCGTACAGGTAGTTTGGCAGACAATTTTCAGCGTTGATATCGCACGGAGAAGTACACGCTTAAAAGAGCTCCTTTGTCCCGTGATTGCAACAATCCTTTCCCTTCGGAGAATTACGATGGTCGGCGTTTTCCCTTCCACTCGCCTGCACTGCCCAGAGAACCGCTCAGGAAGCAGGAGAAAAGGACACTGAGAAAGTCGAACAACAACCACCAGTAAAGACGTTGCGCGAATGAGAAAACATATCAAATAACTTTTTACTGCACACATACTGCAGGCCGACCACCCGAAGCGGGAAGACAAGCCCGCAAGATCGTTTATATTATTGACTCGATATAACAGAAAAGAATAACAAATGATTTGGATGGTAAACAGGTAGCATTGAAGGAATAGAGATTGACGAAAAACAAACAAAAAAACAACAACGGAGAAACAACCGTTATGCACATGGCATCCGCCTCTAAAGGGGATTACACAGCAGCCGCGTCGTTGGAGAAGCAGGGACTGGCAGCAGCGCCCATCGCCTTCTCCGCGCGCACCGCCACGTACAGGAAGCCGTCGGCCTGCTTGCAGGCGTCGCTGAGGTCGCGCAGCGCGGTGCCGGCGGCGGGCGTGCAGCCGTCGATGATGAGCGAGAGCTTCTTGCCGTTGAGGGCGGCGCGCACGGCCGCCTAGCGCTCGGCGACGGTGGCGTCGCGGGGCAGCGCGAGGAAGTGCGCCTTGCTGCTCTTGGCGGCCTCCACCACCATGGCGACGTGCGCCGGGTACTTGGCCTGCAGCCGCGCGCACTCGGCACGGCGCACCTCGACGGAGTTGCTCGTTCTGGTAGGCGGACATGGCTGCAGTGAGAGGGGGTTTGATTGAGGTTGTGGCGGAAGAGTGGAGCTTGGAGGCAAGTGCAGTGGGGAGTGGAAGCGGAAGGAATCAAGATCGGTGTGTTGATCTGGTGGGGCAAGTCATTGGGACAGCCGTGCAGCGAACATCCCGCGGAGCACATTTCACCAGCGGCGCCATTTAAAGAAAATCAGAGAAGCAAAGCAGCAAGGTGGGCAAATGGAGAGGCAGAAAGAGAGATGGAGATGGCAGAGAGGGCGTGGAAGGACAGCAACGGCGAAAGCGGTAGCGATGGTGCCACACGGGTGGACCAACGGCGCTACGAATCAAATGGACTTGATAGGCATGGGAGGACGTCCGCAAGCAGAGGGGGACCCGTTAAGGCCCGTCGAGGCCATGCGCATTTCTGCTTGCGTCCACAGCCGCGCAGAAAAGGAGAGCCCTACACCGGGTCGCCAGACAAAGCTGCTAGAAGGCACCGAAAGAGCGCCGGCGCGTGTATTCAATAGGGAAGAGCGTCGCGATTCAGAAAAGAGGAAAAGAGGAAGCAAAAAACTCAGTTTGCGAATGATACTCGACGCGACTTGCGCCGCAAGGAGGGGTTTGCACATGGAAATCAAGAAAAGAGTAGAGGAAAAAACGAAAGAAAGGCGGATACGCTCAACACATGCACGACAAAGGCATACGCCCTGAGGGGAACGAAACCCACCACCACCACCAACAGAAAAAGACAATGAAGCATGCACATCATCCGTTGTCTGGCTGCTGCGCAGGAGACGCGCGACGACACCTTTCCACGCCGCGAGTGGCCACGTGCGCTGCAACCAGCGGATCAAGACGAAAAGAAAGTGCGACTACGGCGGTACAGTTCCCGTAAGCTGAGGGAGTTGTGCTTTATAGAAAATAGAACGGAGGTGGCCGCGAGTCGGGACTGCGTTTACGCACCTCGCGCCGCAGCGCAAGGCGTATGTGCATTTAATTGGATGCGCTACACTACGCTCCCCACTCTCGTCGCCAAACAGTCGCATTTCGGGTGCTTTTCCCCGTCTACCTGCGTAGACACACGGGGAACGGCGACAGCACCACGAAAGCGGCATGCGCGCGACAGGTCAAGAGTGATACGCGGCACACCTTTGCGCGCCAACAATGAAGCGCAACCAAAACGAAACGTCGCTGCGACCGTCACGCTCTTCAAGAAACGGCGTCTCTTCCGTCCTCTCCACTGCGCTGTCGTGACGAAGCGTCGTCCGCTGCCATCGGCCTGTGTTCGTTGTGCTCTGCGGAATTCGTTTGTGTGTCTCCCAAGTACAGCTCTGCTACGCGAGCAGACGGGCAGATGACGCAAAAGAAGAAGGTGCTTTTTTCTACACATCCATTGCTGTCGCGTCCGCAAAGAGATTGTTTTCGCGAAGAGATAAGGAGGAAGTTATCACATGTGCCGAAGAGAGCGAAAAGCGCGTCAGCCCGTCGAGAACTGCGGTGCTTCTGCGTCCGTCTCACAAGCTGAATGCAGAGGCGCAAAGGAAACAAAAAAGAGACGTGATATCATCAAGGAGGGTCGACTCCCTGAGAATCACGCCGTGTAGGAGCCGAAGAGATCCGGGTTGTTCTCGATGTCCTCCAGGTATCTACCGGTGTTGCCCACGCAGTAGATGTTGCGCGCACCCATGGCACCCTCACCACGGAACGCCACGTAGAGGAAGCCGTCCTCGCACCGGCAGGCGTCGTAGAGGTCCGCCATGGCGGTGGAGGGTGCGGGGGAGCAGCCGCGGACAACGATGCCGAGCTTCTTGCCGGTGATCGCCGCTGCGCTGCGCACCGCCACCTCCAGCGTGGCCGCCGTGGCATCGTGGGGTACGGTGAGGAAGTGCACGCGACCGTTGGGGCCCTCCATCACAACCGGAATCTCGTTGGGGTGCTCCTGCTGCAGGCGCCGGCACTCAGCGGTGCGGACGCTCACGGCGACGGACTTGGCGTAGGACATGGCGGACGTGCACCTTCCTCAATTGAACCCGCAGATGAGCGAGGAGCGGAAAAGAGAGAGGAGGAGGCGGAGGTGACGTGCTGAAAAGACGTGTGTGCTGTGGGGAGAGAAAGCGGCGAGTATCACTAGACACCTGCGGCGAGCATGCACGCGCACAACGGAAAAACAGGTGACGTTGGGGATCGAAAGCAGACAGAAAAGTCGCTTTCAGCAGAATGGCGTTGATGGGGAGGGGGAGACGCAGTGAAACAGAGGAAGACAGGGAAGTCGTCATAGACACTGGCAACACCGATGACGCGCACCACATTGTTGGTTGCCGTTTTGGGCGTCCCGCAGCTCTCGCGCTGGAAACGGCTCGTGTGCTAGAGGACGAGTGCGCTTCCAACGGCATATGGCCTGATAAAAGACACGCTCAAGGAGCCTGTTTGTTACGTTGCCCGCTCGCTTTCACGTCAGCGAGCTGATCAGCGACGGGAGGTGCGCACCACTTCACTGCCGTTCGCCGCAAGCTCGCAAGGCGGCGAAAAAGCACCGATGACAGAGTTTCTTCACTGAGGCGCCACCGAAGAAAAAACCCATGGCGTACAGGTAGTTTGGCAGACAATTTTCAGCGTTGATATCGCACGGAGAAGTACACGCTTAAAAGAGCTCCTTTGTCCCGTGATTGCAACAATCCTTTCCCTTCGGAGAATTACGATGGTCGGCGTTTTCCCTTCCACTCGCCTGCACTGCCCAGAGAACCGCTCAGGAAGCAGGAGAAAAGGACACTGAGAAAGTCGAACAACAACCACCAGTAAAGACGTTGCGCGAATGAGAAAACATATCAAATAACTTTTTACTGCACACATACTGCAGGCCGACCACCCGAAGCGGGAAGACAAGCCCGCAAGATCGTTTATATTATTGACTCGATATAACAGAAAAGAATAACAAATGATTTGGATGGTAAACAGGTAGCATTGAAGGAATAGAGATTGACGAAAAACAAACAAAAAAACAACAACGGAGAAACAACCGTTATGCACATGGCATCCGCCTCTAAAGGGGATTACACAGCAGCCGCGTCGTTGGAGAAGCAGGGACTGGCAGCAGCGCCCATCGCCTTCTCCGCGCGCACCGCCACGTACAGGAAGCCGTCGGCCTGCTTGCAGGCGTCGCTGAGGTCGCGCAGCGCGGTGCCGGCGGCGGGCGTGCAGCCGTCGACGGCGAGCGTCACCTTCTTGGCGCTGATGCTGAGGGCGGCGCGCACGGCCGCCTAGCGCTCGGCGACGGTGGCGTCGCGGGGCAGCGCGAGGAAGTGCGCCTTGCTGCTCTTGGCGGCCTCCACCACCATGGCGACGTGCGCCGGGTACTTGGCCTGCAGCCGCGCGCACTCGGCACGGCGCACCTCGACGGAGTTGCTCGTTCTGGTAGGCGGACATGGCTGCAGTGAGAGGGGGTTTGATTGAGGTTGTGGCGGAAGAGTGGAGCTTGGAGGCAAGTGCAGTGGGGAGTGGAAGCGGAAGGAATCAAGATCGGTGTGTTGATCTGGTGGGGCAAGTCATTGGGACAGCCGTGCAGCGAACATCCCGCGGAGCACATTTCACCAGCGGCGCCATTTAAAGAAAATCAGAGAAGCAAAGCAGCAAGGTGGGCAAATGGAGAGGCAGAAAGAGAGATGGAGATGGCAGAGAGGGCGTGGAAGGACAGCAACGGCGAAAGCGGTAGCGATGGTGCCACACGGGTGGACCAACGGCGCTACGAATCAAATGGACTTGATAGGCATGGGAGGACGTCCGCAAGCAGAGGGGGACCCGTTAAGGCCCGTCGAGGCCATGCGCATTTCTGCTTGCGTCCACAGCCGCGCAGAAAAGGAGAGCCCTACACCGGGTCGCCAGACAAAGCTGCTAGAAGGCACCGAAAGAGCGCCGGCGCGTGTATTCAATAGGGAAGAGCGTCGCGATTCAGAAAAGAGGAAAAGAGGAAGCAAAAAACTCAGTTTGCGAATGATACTCGACGCGACTTGCGCCGCAAGGAGGGGTTTGCACATGGAAATCAAGAAAAGAGTAGAGGAAAAAACGAAAGAAAGGCGGATACGCTCAACACATGCACGACAAAGGCATACGCCCTGAGGGGAACGAAACCCACCACCACCACCAACAGAAAAAGACAATGAAGCATGCACATCATCCGTTGTCTGGCTGCTGCGCAGGAGACGCGCGACGACACCTTTCCACGCCGCGAGTGGCCACGTGCGCTGCAACCAGCGGATCAAGACGAAAAGAAAGTGCGACTACGGCGGTACAGTTCCCGTAAGCTGAGGGAGTTGTGCTTTATAGAAAATAGAACGGAGGTGGCCGCGAGTCGGGACTGCGTTTACGCACCTCGCGCCGCAGCGCAAGGCGTATGTGCATTTAATTGGATGCGCTACACTACGCTCCCCACTCTCGTCGCCAAACAGTCGCATTTCGGGTGCTTTTCCCCGTCTACCTGCGTAGACACACGGGGAACGGCGACAGCACCACGAAAGCGGCATGCGCGCGACAGGTCAAGAGTGATACGCGGCACACCTTTGCGCGCCAACAATGAAGCGCAACCAAAACGAAACGTCGCTGCGACCGTCACGCTCTTCAAGAAACGGCGTCTCTTCCGTCCTCTCCACTGCGCTGTCGTGACGAAGCGTCGTCCGCTGCCATCGGCCTGTGTTCGTTGTGCTCTGCGGAATTCGTTTGTGTGTCTCCCAAGTACAGCTCTGCTACGCGAGCAGACGGGCAGATGACGCAAAAGAAGAAGGTGCTTTTTTCTACACATCCATTGCTGTCGCGTCCGCAAAGAGATTGTTTTCGCGAAGAGATAAGGAGGAAGTTATCACATGTGCCGAAGAGAGCGAAAAGCGCGTCAGCCCGTCGAGAACTGCGGTGCTTCTGCGTCCGTCTCACAAGCTGAATGCAGAGGCGCAAAGGAAACAAAAAAGAGACGTGATATCATCAAGGAGGGTCGACTCCCTGAGAATCACGCCGTGTAGGAGCCGAAGAGATCCGGGTTGTTCTCGATGTCCTCCAGGTATCTACCGGTGTTGCCCACGCAGTAGATGTTGCGCGCACCCATGGCACCCTCACCACGGAACGCCACGTAGAGGAAGCCGTCCTCGCACCGGCAGGCGTCGTAGAGGTCCGCCATGGCGGTGGAGGGTGCGGGGGAGCAGCCGCGGACAACGATGCCGAGCTTCTTGCCGGTGATCGCCGCTGCGCTGCGCACCGCCACCTCCAGCGTGGCCGCCGTGGCATCGTGGGGTACGGTGAGGAAGTGCACGCGACCGTTGGGGCCCTCCATCACAACCGGAATCTCGTTGGGGTGCTCCTGCTGCAGGCGCCGGCACTCAGCGGTGCGGACGCTCACGGCGACGGACTTGGCGTAGGACATGGCGGACGTGCACCTTCCTCAATTGAACCCGCAGATGAGCGAGGAGCGGAAAAGAGAGAGGAGGAGGCGGAGGTGACGTGCTGAAAAGACGTGTGTGCTGTGGGGAGAGAAAGCGGCGAGTATCACTAGACACCTGCGGCGAGCATGCACGCGCACAACGGAAAAACAGGTGACGTTGGGGATCGAAAGCAGACAGAAAAGTCGCTTTCAGCAGAATGGCGTTGATGGGGAGGGGGAGACGCAGTGAAACAGAGGAAGACAGGGAAGTCGTCATAGACACTGGCAACACCGATGACGCGCACCACATTGTTGGTTGCCGTTTTGGGCGTCCCGCAGCTCTCGCGCTGGAAACGGCTCGTGTGCTAGAGGACGAGTGCGCTTCCAACGGCATATGGCCTGATAAAAGACACGCTCAAGGAGCCTGTTTGTTACGTTGCCCGCTCGCTTTCACGTCAGCGAGCTGATCAGCGACGGGAGGTGCGCACCACTTCACTGCCGTTCGCCGCAAGCTCGCAAGGCGGCGAAAAAGCACCGATGACAGAGTTTCTTCACTGAGGCGCCACCGAAGAAAAAACCCATGGCGTACAGGTAGTTTGGCAGACAATTTTCAGCGTTGATATCGCACGGAGAAGTACACGCTTAAAAGAGCTCCTTTGTCCCGTGATTGCAACAATCCTTTCCCTTCGGAGAATTACGATGGTCGGCGTTTTCCCTTCCACTCGCCTGCACTGCCCAGAGAACCGCTCAGGAAGCAGGAGAAAAGGACACTGAGAAAGTCGAACAACAACCACCAGTAAAGACGTTGCGCGAATGAGAAAACATATCAAATAACTTTTTACTGCACACATACTGCAGGCCGACCACCCGAAGCGGGAAGACAAGCCCGCAAGATCGTTTATATTATTGACTCGATATAACAGAAAAGAATAACAAATGATTTGGATGGTAAACAGGTAGCATTGAAGGAATAGAGATTGACGAAAAACAAACAAAAAAACAACAACGGAGAAACAACCGTTATGCACATGGCATCCGCCTCTAAAGGGGATTACACAGCAGCCGCGTCGTTGGAGAAGCAGGGACTGGCAGCAGCGCCCATCGCCTTCTCCGCGCGCACCGCCACGTACAGGAAGCCGTCGGCCTGCTTGCAGGCGTCGCTGAGGTCGCGCAGCGCGGTGCCGGCGGCGGGCGTGCAGCCGTCGACGGCGAGCGTCACCTTCTTGGCGCTGATGCTGAGGGCGGCGCGCACGGCCGCCTAGCGCTCGGCGACGGTGGCGTCGCGGGGCAGCGCGAGGAAGTGCGCCTTGCTGCTCTTGGCGGCCTCCACCACCATGGCGACGTGCGCCGGGTACTTGGCCTGCAGCCGCGCGCACTCGGCACGGCGCACCTCGACGGAGTTGCTCGTTCTGGTAGGCGGACATGGCTGCAGTGAGAGGGGGTTTGATTGAGGTTGTGGCGGAAGAGTGGAGCTTGGAGGCAAGTGCAGTGGGGAGTGGAAGCGGAAGGAATCAAGATCGGTGTGTTGATCTGGTGGGGCAAGTCATTGGGACAGCCGTGCAGCGAACATCCCGCGGAGCACATTTCACCAGCGGCGCCATTTAAAGAAAATCAGAGAAGCAAAGCAGCAAGGTGGGCAAATGGAGAGGCAGAAAGAGAGATGGAGATGGCAGAGAGGGCGTGGAAGGACAGCAACGGCGAAAGCGGTAGCGATGGTGCCACACGGGTGGACCAACGGCGCTACGAATCAAATGGACTTGATAGGCATGGGAGGACGTCCGCAAGCAGAGGGGGACCCGTTAAGGCCCGTCGAGGCCATGCGCATTTCTGCTTGCGTCCACAGCCGCGCAGAAAAGGAGAGCCCTACACCGGGTCGCCAGACAAAGCTGCTAGAAGGCACCGAAAGAGCGCCGGCGCGTGTATTCAATAGGGAAGAGCGTCGCGATTCAGAAAAGAGGAAAAGAGGAAGCAAAAAACTCAGTTTGCGAATGATACTCGACGCGACTTGCGCCGCAAGGAGGGGTTTGCACATGGAAATCAAGAAAAGAGTAGAGGAAAAAACGAAAGAAAGGCGGATACGCTCAACACATGCACGACAAAGGCATACGCCCTGAGGGGAACGAAACCCACCACCACCACCAACAGAAAAAGACAATGAAGCATGCACATCATCCGTTGTCTGGCTGCTGCGCAGGAGACGCGCGACGACACCTTTCCACGCCGCGAGTGGCCACGTGCGCTGCAACCAGCGGATCAAGACGAAAAGAAAGTGCGACTACGGCGGTACAGTTCCCGTAAGCTGAGGGAGTTGTGCTTTATAGAAAATAGAACGGAGGTGGCCGCGAGTCGGGACTGCGTTTACGCACCTCGCGCCGCAGCGCAAGGCGTATGTGCATTTAATTGGATGCGCTACACTACGCTCCCCACTCTCGTCGCCAAACAGTCGCATTTCGGGTGCTTTTCCCCGTCTACCTGCGTAGACACACGGGGAACGGCGACAGCACCACGAAAGCGGCATGCGCGCGACAGGTCAAGAGTGATACGCGGCACACCTTTGCGCGCCAACAATGAAGCGCAACCAAAACGAAACGTCGCTGCGACCGTCACGCTCTTCAAGAAACGGCGTCTCTTCCGTCCTCTCCACTGCGCTGTCGTGACGAAGCGTCGTCCGCTGCCATCGGCCTGTGTTCGTTGTGCTCTGCGGAATTCGTTTGTGTGTCTCCCAAGTACAGCTCTGCTACGCGAGCAGACGGGCAGATGACGCAAAAGAAGAAGGTGCTTTTTTCTACACATCCATTGCTGTCGCGTCCGCAAAGAGATTGTTTTCGCGAAGAGATAAGGAGGAAGTTATCACATGTGCCGAAGAGAGCGAAAAGCGCGTCAGCCCGTCGAGAACTGCGGTGCTTCTGCGTCCGTCTCACAAGCTGAATGCAGAGGCGCAAAGGAAACAAAAAAGAGACGTGATATCATCAAGGAGGGTCGACTCCCTGAGAATCACGCCGTGTAGGAGCCGAAGAGATCCGGGTTGTTCTCGATGTCCTCCAGGTATCTACCGGTGTTGCCCACGCAGTAGATGTTGCGCGCACCCATGGCACCCTCACCACGGAACGCCACGTAGAGGAAGCCGTCCTCGCACCGGCAGGCGTCGTAGAGGTCCGCCATGGCGGTGGAGGGTGCGGGGGAGCAGCCGCGGACAACGATGCCGAGCTTCTTGCCGGTGATCGCCGCTGCGCTGCGCACCGCCACCTCCAGCGTGGCCGCCGTGGCATCGTGGGGTACGGTGAGGAAGTGCACGCGACCGTTGGGGCCCTCCATCACAACCGGAATCTCGTTGGGGTGCTCCTGCTGCAGGCGCCGGCACTCAGCGGTGCGGACGCTCACGGCGACGGACTTGGCGTAGGACATGGCGGACGTGCACCTTCCTCAATTGAACCCGCAGATGAGCGAGGAGCGGAAAAGAGAGAGGAGGAGGCGGAGGTGACGTGCTGAAAAGACGTGTGTGCTGTGGGGAGAGAAAGCGGCGAGTATCACTAGACACCTGCGGCGAGCATGCACGCGCACAACGGAAAAACAGGTGACGTTGGGGATCGAAAGCAGACAGAAAAGTCGCTTTCAGCAGAATGGCGTTGATGGGGAGGGGGAGACGCAGTGAAACAGAGGAAGACAGGGAAGTCGTCATAGACACTGGCAACACCGATGACGCGCACCACATTGTTGGTTGCCGTTTTGGGCGTCCCGCAGCTCTCGCGCTGGAAACGGCTCGTGTGCTAGAGGACGAGTGCGCTTCCAACGGCATATGGCCTGATAAAAGACACGCTCAAGGAGCCTGTTTGTTACGTTGCCCGCTCGCTTTCACGTCAGCGAGCTGATCAGCGACGGGAGGTGCGCACCACTTCACTGCCGTTCGCCGCAAGCTCGCAAGGCGGCGAAAAAGCACCGATGACAGAGTTTCTTCACTGAGGCGCCACCGAAGAAAAAACCCATGGCGTACAGGTAGTTTGGCAGACAATTTTCAGCGTTGATATCGCACGGAGAAGTACACGCTTAAAAGAGCTCCTTTGTCCCGTGATTGCAACAATCCTTTCCCTTCGGAGAATTACGATGGTCGGCGTTTTCCCTTCCACTCGCCTGCACTGCCCAGAGAACCGCTCAGGAAGCAGGAGAAAAGGACACTGAGAAAGTCGAACAACAACCACCAGTAAAGACGTTGCGCGAATGAGAAAACATATCAAATAACTTTTTACTGCACACATACTGCAGGCCGACCACCCGAAGCGGGAAGACAAGCCCGCAAGATCGTTTATATTATTGACTCGATATAACAGAAAAGAATAACAAATGATTTGGATGGTAAACAGGTAGCATTGAAGGAATAGAGATTGACGAAAAACAAACAAAAAAACAACAACGGAGAAACAACCGTTATGCACATGGCATCCGCCTCTAAAGGGGATTACACAGCAGCCGCGTCGTTGGAGAAGCAGGGACTGGCAGCAGCGCCCATCGCCTTCTCCGCGCGCACCGCCACGTACAGGAAGCCGTCGGCCTGCTTGCAGGCGTCGCTGAGGTCGCGCAGCGCGGTGCCGGCGGCGGGCGTGCAGCCGTCGACGGCGAGCGTCACCTTCTTGGCGCTGATGCTGAGGGCGGCGCGCACGGCCGCCTAGCGCTCGGCGACGGTGGCGTCGCGGGGCAGCGCGAGGAAGTGCGCCTTGCTGCTCTTGGCGGCCTCCACCACCATGGCGACGTGCGCCGGGTACTTGGCCTGCAGCCGCGCGCACTCGGCACGGCGCACCTCGACGGAGTTGCTCGTTCTGGTAGGCGGACATGGCTGCAGTGAGAGGGGGTTTGATTGAGGTTGTGGCGGAAGAGTGGAGCTTGGAGGCAAGTGCAGTGGGGAGTGGAAGCGGAAGGAATCAAGATCGGTGTGTTGATCTGGTGGGGCAAGTCATTGGGACAGCCGTGCAGCGAACATCCCGCGGAGCACATTTCACCAGCGGCGCCATTTAAAGAAAATCAGAGAAGCAAAGCAGCAAGGTGGGCAAATGGAGAGGCAGAAAGAGAGATGGAGATGGCAGAGAGGGCGTGGAAGGACAGCAACGGCGAAAGCGGTAGCGATGGTGCCACACGGGTGGACCAACGGCGCTACGAATCAAATGGACTTGATAGGCATGGGAGGACGTCCGCAAGCAGAGGGGGACCCGTTAAGGCCCGTCGAGGCCATGCGCATTTCTGCTTGCGTCCACAGCCGCGCAGAAAAGGAGAGCCCTACACCGGGTCGCCAGACAAAGCTGCTAGAAGGCACCGAAAGAGCGCCGGCGCGTGTATTCAATAGGGAAGAGCGTCGCGATTCAGAAAAGAGGAAAAGAGGAAGCAAAAAACTCAGTTTGCGAATGATACTCGACGCGACTTGCGCCGCAAGGAGGGGTTTGCACATGGAAATCAAGAAAAGAGTAGAGGAAAAAACGAAAGAAAGGCGGATACGCTCAACACATGCACGACAAAGGCATACGCCCTGAGGGGAACGAAACCCACCACCACCACCAACAGAAAAAGACAATGAAGCATGCACATCATCCGTTGTCTGGCTGCTGCGCAGGAGACGCGCGACGACACCTTTCCACGCCGCGAGTGGCCACGTGCGCTGCAACCAGCGGATCAAGACGAAAAGAAAGTGCGACTACGGCGGTACAGTTCCCGTAAGCTGAGGGAGTTGTGCTTTATAGAAAATAGAACGGAGGTGGCCGCGAGTCGGGACTGCGTTTACGCACCTCGCGCCGCAGCGCAAGGCGTATGTGCATTTAATTGGATGCGCTACACTACGCTCCCCACTCTCGTCGCCAAACAGTCGCATTTCGGGTGCTTTTCCCCGTCTACCTGCGTAGACACACGGGGAACGGCGACAGCACCACGAAAGCGGCATGCGCGCGACAGGTCAAGAGTGATACGCGGCACACCTTTGCGCGCCAACAATGAAGCGCAACCAAAACGAAACGTCGCTGCGACCGTCACGCTCTTCAAGAAACGGCGTCTCTTCCGTCCTCTCCACTGCGCTGTCGTGACGAAGCGTCGTCCGCTGCCATCGGCCTGTGTTCGTTGTGCTCTGCGGAATTCGTTTGTGTGTCTCCCAAGTACAGCTCTGCTACGCGAGCAGACGGGCAGATGACGCAAAAGAAGAAGGTGCTTTTTTCTACACATCCATTGCTGTCGCGTCCGCAAAGAGATTGTTTTCGCGAAGAGATAAGGAGGAAGTTATCACATGTGCCGAAGAGAGCGAAAAGCGCGTCAGCCCGTCGAGAACTGCGGTGCTTCTGCGTCCGTCTCACAAGCTGAATGCAGAGGCGCAAAGGAAACAAAAAAGAGACGTGATATCATCAAGGAGGGTCGACTCCCTGAGAATCACGCCGTGTAGGAGCCGAAGAGATCCGGGTTGTTCTCGATGTCCTCCAGGTATCTACCGGTGTTGCCCACGCAGTAGATGTTGCGCGCACCCATGGCACCCTCACCACGGAACGCCACGTAGAGGAAGCCGTCCTCGCACCGGCAGGCGTCGTAGAGGTCCGCCATGGCGGTGGAGGGTGCGGGGGAGCAGCCGCGGACAACGATGCCGAGCTTCTTGCCGGTGATCGCCGCTGCGCTGCGCACCGCCACCTCCAGCGTGGCCGCCGTGGCATCGTGGGGTACGGTGAGGAAGTGCACGCGACCGTTGGGGCCCTCCATCACAACCGGAATCTCGTTGGGGTGCTCCTGCTGCAGGCGCCGGCACTCAGCGGTGCGGACGCTCACGGCGACGGACTTGGCGTAGGACATGGCGGACGTGCACCTTCCTCAATTGAACCCGCAGATGAGCGAGGAGCGGAAAAGAGAGAGGAGGAGGCGGAGGTGACGTGCTGAAAAGACGTGTGTGCTGTGGGGAGAGAAAGCGGCGAGTATCACTAGACACCTGCGGCGAGCATGCACGCGCACAACGGAAAAACAGGTGACGTTGGGGATCGAAAGCAGACAGAAAAGTCGCTTTCAGCAGAATGGCGTTGATGGGGAGGGGGAGACGCAGTGAAACAGAGGAAGACAGGGAAGTCGTCATAGACACTGGCAACACCGATGACGCGCACCACATTGTTGGTTGCCGTTTTGGGCGTCCCGCAGCTCTCGCGCTGGAAACGGCTCGTGTGCTAGAGGACGAGTGCGCTTCCAACGGCATATGGCCTGATAAAAGACACGCTCAAGGAGCCTGTTTGTTACGTTGCCCGCTCGCTTTCACGTCAGCGAGCTGATCAGCGACGGGAGGTGCGCACCACTTCACTGCCGTTCGCCGCAAGCTCGCAAGGCGGCGAAAAAGCACCGATGACAGAGTTTCTTCACTGAGGCGCCACCGAAGAAAAAACCCATGGCGTACAGGTAGTTTGGCAGACAATTTTCAGCGTTGATATCGCACGGAGAAGTACACGCTTAAAAGAGCTCCTTTGTCCCGTGATTGCAACAATCCTTTCCCTTCGGAGAATTACGATGGTCGGCGTTTTCCCTTCCACTCGCCTGCACTGCCCAGAGAACCGCTCAGGAAGCAGGAGAAAAGGACACTGAGAAAGTCGAACAACAACCACCAGTAAAGACGTTGCGCGAATGAGAAAACATATCAAATAACTTTTTACTGCACACATACTGCAGGCCGACCACCCGAAGCGGGAAGACAAGCCCGCAAGATCGTTTATATTATTGACTCGATATAACAGAAAAGAATAACAAATGATTTGGATGGTAAACAGGTAGCATTGAAGGAATAGAGATTGACGAAAAACAAACAAAAAAACAACAACGGAGAAACAACCGTTATGCACATGGCATCCGCCTCTAAAGGGGATTACACAGCAGCCGCGTCGTTGGAGAAGCAGGGACTGGCAGCAGCGCCCATCGCCTTCTCCGCGCGCACCGCCACGTACAGGAAGCCGTCGGCCTGCTTGCAGGCGTCGCTGAGGTCGCGCAGCGCGGTGCCGGCGGCGGGCGTGCAGCCGTCGATGATGAGCGAGAGCTTCTTGCCGTTGAGGGCGGCGCGCACGGTGTCCTCCAGGCCGGCCACGGTGGCGTCGCGCGCCACGTTGACGAAGAGCAGGCGGCCGTCGTTGCACTCGATGGCAACGGGGAGCTGGTTGGCGGAGACGGTGTGGATGGCGGCCATGGCTGAGCGAGTGTTCGAGTGGTGAGGAGTTCGGAGTTCGGATTGACTGGCGGGCGAGGAGACTCGTGGCGGAGGGCGTTAGTCTGTGCGACAAGGGCGCAACGGCAACGCAAACAAACAGCAGAAGAGAGGACGAAAGCAAGACGCGCAGGGTGAGGGAGAGTGGGAGCGGGGGAGGGACGCCGGAAGAAGCTCAGCGGAGGTGAGGGGGAACAAACGCAGCCGTCGTGGCTCCAAGTCGAGTGCGGAGGGCGATGGGTAAAGAGAGCTAGCACACACTGCCAAGCGAGACGAGGCGCTCACACGTCGAGAGCGGGCTGGCTGTTATGGATCCGCTGTGTGCGGTTGGCGCCGATGCGCCGATGCGCCGAGGGCTGTGGGTACGCAATCAATTCAGAATTCGACTGTGCACATGGCGCCGCGAGGGGGCCGCGCGAAAAACAGAGGGAACAGAAAACAAAGGGAAGCACACATTGAGGAAAGAGAAAATAAGCCGGTCGAGCATCAGGTGGTAAGTACCCTACTTGAATGAGACGAATAGGTACGAACATCAGAAAAATAGAAATAAAAGAATCACATAAAATCATTATCCCGCTGCGAGCAGCACAATGGACATCGTGCAAGCGCTAGCATGCGGGTGTGCACGCGCAGCGGCAGTGCGCAACTGGCGTGCAGGAGAAGGAGGCCTGTGGTGATGCCGGAGCGGCCCTGGACAGTAGGCTCCCCGGCAGAGAGGCGCTCCTTGCGCACGACGAGCTGTGCAGCGCCAGCGAACAGTGCGCTTCGCACAGCGGCGCGTGAGTGCGAGGCCGCTGGGCAGCCACCGAGGGTGGCAAGGGGCGTCGCACGAAGCAAAGGCTCTAGAGCAAGTTAAATGGTATCGCTGGCGAAGCAGGGAAGGGCGAGGTTGCCCATGGCCCTCTCCGCACGCACCGCCACGTACAGGAAGCCGTCAGCGCGCTTGCAGCTCTCGTGGATGTCGCGCAGCGCGGTGCCGGCGGCGGGCGTGCAGCCGTCGATGATGAGCGAGAGCTTCTTGCCGTTGAGGGCGGCGCGCACGGTGTCCTCCAGGCCGGCCACGGTGGCGTCGCGCGCCACGTTGACGAAGAGCAGGCGGCCGTCGTTGCACTCGATGGCAACGGGGAGCTGGTTGGCGGAGACGGTGTGGATGGCGGCCATGGCTGAGCGAGTGTTCGAGTGGTGAGGAGTTCGGAGTTCGGATTGACTGGCGGGCGAGGAGACTCGTGGCGGAGGGCGTTAGTCTGTGCGACAAGGGCGCAACGGCAACGCAAACAAACAGCAGAAGAGAGGACGAAAGCAAGACGCGCAGGGTGAGGGAGAGTGGGAGCGGGGGAGGGACGCCGGAAGAAGCTCAGCGGAGGTGAGGGGGAACAAACGCAGCCGTCGTGGCTCCAAGTCGAGTGCGGAGGGCGATGGGTAAAGAGAGCTAGCACACACTGCCAAGCGAGACGAGGCGCTCACACGTCGAGAGCGGGCTGGCTGTTATGGATCCGCTGTGTGCGGTTGGCGCCGATGCGCCGATGCGCCGAGGGCTGTGGGTACGCAATCAATTCAGAATTCGACTGTGCACATGGCGCCGCGAGGGGGCCGCGCGAAAAACAGAGGGAACAGAAAACAAAGGGAAGCACACATTGAGGAAAGAGAAAATAAGCCGGTCGAGCATCAGGTGGTAAGTACCCTACTTGAATGAGACGAATAGGTACGAACATCAGAAAAATAGAAATAAAAGAATCACATAAAATCATTATCCCGCTGCGAGCAGCACAATGGACATCGTGCAAGCGCTAGCATGCGGGTGTGCACGCGCAGCGGCAGTGCGCAACTGGCGTGCAGGAGAAGGAGGCCTGTGGTGATGCCGGAGCGGCCCTGGACAGTAGGCTCCCCGGCAGAGAGGCGCTCCTTGCGCACGACGAGCTGTGCAGCGCCAGCGAACAGTGCGCTTCGCACAGCGGCGCGTGAGTGCGAGGCCGCTGGGCAGCCACCGAGGGTGGCAAGGGGCGTCGCACGAAGCAAAGGCTCTAGAGCAAGTTAAATGGTATCGCTGGCGAAGCAGGGAAGGGCGAGGTTGCCCATGGCCCTCTCCGCACGCACCGCCACGTACAGGAAGCCGTCAGCGCGCTTGCAGCTCTCGTGGATGTCGCGCAGCGCGGTGCCGGCGGCGGGCGTGCAGCCGTCGATGATGAGCGAGAGCTTCTTGCCGTTGAGGGCGGCGCGCACGGTGTCCTCCAGGCCGGCCACGGTGGCGTCGCGCGCCACGTTGACGAAGAGCAGGCGGCCGTCGTTGCACTCGATGGCAACGGGGAGCTGGTTGGCGGAGACGGTGTGGATGGCGGCCATGGCTGAGCGAGTGTTCGAGTGGTGAGGAGTTCGGAGTTCGGATTGACTGGCGGGCGAGGAGACTCGTGGCGGAGGGCGTTAGTCTGTGCGACAAGGGCGCAACGGCAACGCAAACAAACAGCAGAAGAGAGGACGAAAGCAAGACGCGCAGGGTGAGGGAGAGTGGGAGCGGGGGAGGGACGCCGGAAGAAGCTCAGCGGAGGTGAGGGGGAACAAACGCAGCCGTCGTGGCTCCAAGTCGAGTGCGGAGGGCGATGGGTAAAGAGAGCTAGCACACACTGCCAAGCGAGACGAGGCGCTCACACGTCGAGAGCGGGCTGGCTGTTATGGATCCGCTGTGTGCGGTTGGCGCCGATGCGCCGATGCGCCGAGGGCTGTGGGTACGCAATCAATTCAGAATTCGACTGTGCACATGGCGCCGCGAGGGGGCCGCGCGAAAAACAGAGGGAACAGAAAACAAAGGGAAGCACACATTGAGGAAAGAGAAAATAAGCCGGTCGAGCATCAGGTGGTAAGTACCCTACTTGAATGAGACGAATAGGTACGAACATCAGAAAAATAGAAATAAAAGAATCACATAAAATCATTATCCCGCTGCGAGCAGCACAATGGACATCGTGCAAGCGCTAGCATGCGGGTGTGCACGCGCAGCGGCAGTGCGCAACTGGCGTGCAGGAGAAGGAGGCCTGTGGTGATGCCGGAGCGGCCCTGGACAGTAGGCTCCCCGGCAGAGAGGCGCTCCTTGCGCACGACGAGCTGTGCAGCGCCAGCGAACAGTGCGCTTCGCACAGCGGCGCGTGAGTGCGAGGCCGCTGGGCAGCCACCGAGGGTGGCAAGGGGCGTCGCACGAAGCAAAGGCTCTAGAGCAAGTTAAATGGTATCGCTGGCGAAGCAGGGAAGGGCGAGGTTGCCCATGGCCCTCTCCGCACGCACCGCCACGTACAGGAAGCCGTCAGCGCGCTTGCAGCTCTCGTGGATGTCGCGCAGCGCGGTGCCGGCGGCGGGCGTGCAGCCGTCGATGATGAGCGAGAGCTTCTTGCCGTTGAGGGCGGCGCGCACGGTGTCCTCCAGGCCGGCCACGGTGGCGTCGCGCGCCACGTTGACGAAGAGCAGGCGGCCGTCGTTGCACTCGATGGCAACGGGGAGCTGGTTGGCGGAGACGGTGTGGATGGCGGCCATGGCTGAGCGAGTGTTCGAGTGGTGAGGAGTTCGGAGTTCGGATTGACTGGCGGGCGAGGAGACTCGTGGCGGAGGGCGTTAGTCTGTGCGACAAGGGCGCAACGGCAACGCAAACAAACAGCAGAAGAGAGGACGAAAGCAAGACGCGCAGGGTGAGGGAGAGTGGGAGCGGGGGAGGGACGCCGGAAGAAGCTCAGCGGAGGTGAGGGGGAACAAACGCAGCCGTCGTGGCTCCAAGTCGAGTGCGGAGGGCGATGGGTAAAGAGAGCTAGCACACACTGCCAAGCGAGACGAGGCGCTCACACGTCGAGAGCGGGCTGGCTGTTATGGATCCGCTGTGTGCGGTTGGCGCCGATGCGCCGATGCGCCGAGGGCTGTGGGTACGCAATCAATTCAGAATTCGACTGTGCACATGGCGCCGCGAGGGGGCCGCGCGAAAAACAGAGGGAACAGAAAACAAAGGGAAGCACACATTGAGGAAAGAGAAAATAAGCCGGTCGAGCATCAGGTGGTAAGTACCCTACTTGAATGAGACGAATAGGTACGAACATCAGAAAAATAGAAATAAAAGAATCACATAAAATCATTATCCCGCTGCGAGCAGCACAATGGACATCGTGCAAGCGCTAGCATGCGGGTGTGCACGCGCAGCGGCAGTGCGCAACTGGCGTGCAGGAGAAGGAGGCCTGTGGTGATGCCGGAGCGGCCCTGGACAGTAGGCTCCCCGGCAGAGAGGCGCTCCTTGCGCACGACGAGCTGTGCAGCGCCAGCGAACAGTGCGCTTCGCACAGCGGCGCGTGAGTGCGAGGCCGCTGGGCAGCCACCGAGGGTGGCAAGGGGCGTCGCACGAAGCAAAGGCTCTAGAGCAAGTTAAATGGTATCGCTGGCGAAGCAGGGAAGGGCGAGGTTGCCCATGGCCCTCTCCGCACGCACCGCCACGTACAGGAAGCCGTCAGCGCGCTTGCAGCTCTCGTGGATGTCGCGCAGCGCGGTGCCGGCGGCGGGCGTGCAGCCGTCGATGATGAGCGAGAGCTTCTTGCCGTTGAGGGCGGCGCGCACGGTGTCCTCCAGGCCGGCCACGGTGGCGTCGCGCGCCACGTTGACGAAGAGCAGGCGGCCGTCGTTGCACTCGATGGCAACGGGGAGCTGGTTGGCGGAGACGGTGTGGATGGCGGCCATGGCTGAGCGAGTGTTCGAGTGGTGAGGAGTTCGGAGTTCGGATTGACTGGCGGGCGAGGAGACTCGTGGCGGAGGGCGTTAGTCTGTGCGACAAGGGCGCAACGGCAACGCAAACAAACAGCAGAAGAGAGGACGAAAGCAAGACGCGCAGGGTGAGGGAGAGTGGGAGCGGGGGAGGGACGCCGGAAGAAGCTCAGCGGAGGTGAGGGGGAACAAACGCAGCCGTCGTGGCTCCAAGTCGAGTGCGGAGGGCGATGGGTAAAGAGAGCTAGCACACACTGCCAAGCGAGACGAGGCGCTCACACGTCGAGAGCGGGCTGGCTGTTATGGATCCGCTGTGTGCGGTTGGCGCCGATGCGCCGATGCGCC